ATGGCCGTCCTGGCTGTCCCTGAAACCCATGCCACACTCTTGCACCCCATACTTGCAACCCTTCCCTTGCTAGGAAAAGACACTCCCTATATCCTAGGACTGTTTAAACGTTGCCAGCACTTCAGAAAACTGTTTAACTCACAAACACCACTATGACAGGGAAAAAAACCTTTGGAAATCTTTTTTCCACAGGCCTAGCACTGAGCAATAGTAGTAAGTAAGATGATGAGCTCATTTCACACAACCCTTAGAACAGTTATAAGAAGCAGGTAATGATTTTCTCCAGTACATTAAACAGGTGACTAGAAGATTGGCAATCCATTAACAGAATAACACACAATAGCTTTCTGTGGAAGAACATTCAATTTTTATCTTTCTTGGTTTGCAAACCAAAACTTTATAAAATGCTTTTCAAACTTCAATTCTCTCTTTTAAGTTCTCATTTCTGTTATCTCTACAGTGAGATAAATATTGGTCTGAAAAGAAGTATTTGAGTAGCTAAATTGACAGGGGAACAAAATTAAAAATTTGCTTCTTCCTTTAACTCTTATAAGCTCTGTGATGGGGCTATCCATCACAAGTGAGCTATCTCAGGATTGATCACAAGCCTGGTACAATGTAATTACTGAACCAAAAGCATTGTATTATATAGCATGAAATGAAATAGCAACTTTGCCTTCCACATTATGAGCCCGTTGACTAATGATGGAGTGCTGCAATTAGAAATATGGAAGTAACAAGACAAGGTATTTCACAGTCCACCAATGTATAGAATAAAACTACTGATAGAGTGAAGCAGGGAAATTAAAACCAATAAAACTGGAACAGAAAATAACAATGGCATTCTTAATAATCTGTAAAAGGAGAGGATGGAAGTGTCCTCCAAAGCAGGTCAAGTTTAAAAGGATCATGTGCAGCATCTGAAAAAGGCTTCTCCTGTCTTGTGTCAGTGGACCTATTTTTTTTTCTAGTATGTTTTGTGATGGCTGGGAACTCTTACATTCATTGGCATCATGAGACCTAGCATCAGGAGATTTTGCTTTAAGACACCAGAGAGGAAAACCCAATGAGTTGTGGGCAAGAGTTCCCATTGCCCAGAGCTGCCTCCCCAACTCCCATTTGATGCTGCCTGAGTGGCAAAAGGCTGACCACTGTGTCACTGCTAGATCTCCTGGGGACACCAAGCCAAGAGCACGAGTGGCATAGGTTTGGTACAAATTGGCAACAAAACACAAAAAGAGAAAGAGAAAAATTTAAAAAAAGAGGAAAATATTAAGTACTACAGTTACTTCAAGCCCATACTAAAGGCATTCTTCCCTCCTCATATTTGCTTGAAGCATGCATCTTCATATCTTTGAATAAGTTGATTATCTGGAAACAAAGAAACCCGTGGGAATTTATTTTAAAAATGCAATTTCTCTTTTTCTTTTCCTTTTCTTTTCTTTTCTTTTCTTTTCTTTTCTTTTCTTTTCTTTTCTTTTCTTTTCTTTTCTTTTCTTTTCTTTTCTTTTCTTTT